GAGGCAGTAAACGCTTATGGATCGGTTGTTGCGAAGAAGGAACACGAAAATCTTTGCGAGCATTTCGAAGAAGGTGAAAATATTGATCCACCACATTTTCATTCGTTCATCAATTTTTTTAAATTGAAGTTTGCCATCTTAGTAGGACCAAGGGTCAGTTGAAGTTTCCTGCCCGTGGAGAGGAGCTTGCGCTCGTTGGAAAATATTCTACCTTAATTTGCACTCCTCAAGCGCTTCTAGAAAGTGAAAAAATTCCAACGTTGTCCGTTTCGCTGACCTTGTACACAGAGTGCGAAGAGATCCAAGCGTGACACTAAGAAAACTTTCACCGGACACCACCGCGCACGGTCTTCGAATAACTAAACGCAGTCTAATATTTTTCCATATTTCTCTTTGAAAAATACCAATTTCTATTGGAAAATATTTTATCTTCATTTAGAATCCTCAAGTGCTTCTAGAAAGTGAAAAAATTCGAAGGTTGTCCTTTTCGCCGACTCTGTTCACAGAGAACGAAGAGATCCAAGCGTGACACTTAAAAAATTTTTCTTCGGATTCTACCGGACAAAATTCAAAATACAGTAAGGAAACTGTAAAATGACGGACGGCGAATGTATTTACCGTAAAACAGTTGACTATATGTCCAGGATGGCTCTTGAGAAAGACGATTTTAGAGGTTTTCAGCGATCAGAGAATTTCGTGTTATAGGAAATCGGGCCGAGGCGCGCGTCGCATCAAGATTGGAAATGGGCCTTTAATCAAGAGGAGTACCAATTGAGTTTTTCTTTCAAAGAACTGTAACTTTGTTTTGGCTAAATCTTTAGAAGAAAAATGAAAACTACAACATGATTCACCCAGACGTAAAGTCAATCTTAACATCTTTTGTATTTCTAACAAAAGAGGAACTATTATTTGCTTGAAAAGCAGGGAAGAAGCCAAGGAGTATGACAACAATGCGATTGGAACTTACAAAATGAAGCATATGCATAGCGCTAACAGTTTGGAGCTTGTTGATCACATTGTGATTGAGCTGTAATTCCTTTCTTTTGAATGCACCCTAATAAATTTATAATCATGGAAATTTCATGTCCTGAAGGCTAAAGAATGGTCTCGTTGTGCCTGAGAAGTTGACAGCATTTACCAAAAGTGCAGCCATAGGACAAATATTGAAGGAACAGATGAACCACATAGTGGAACTTTGCAAGAACATGGAGATGGAAATAACTGGAACGGAAAAAGCTATTCTACTTTACTGATACCACCGTAGTTGAAGGCCCAAAAGTTACAAATAAACCGGCATTAGAAACAGGTTCTTTTTTTGTATCCTGGCTTATTTGCAAAAGTTAGGAATGAAGGGGCTCTTATTCAAGGGGGGTGCTTATTTGACATTTTGGCCAAGGGGGTGGAAGCTTATATGGGAGAGGGTACTTATTGGAGCATTGACACTTATTCCAGGAAATATGGAACTGGTAAAAAAGTATATTAGGTACTTTCTACCCTTGGAGATCAAATATTGTGAAGGGATGCTCAAACCCCTGAAGAAAATAACATCACCTCTTTTAAAATAGAATGTATTTTTTTGTAAGTGCTTGTTCAACAGTTTTTCATGATTGAGTTATACAGAAGACAGCAATCCAGGGTGAAAGGAACACTGACTTGCTTAGCATGCACCTAAACAAGAAGAGATACCCAAATACTCAGTGATATGTGTATTCCTTGGAAGAGGGAAAATCTTCCTGTTTTCACAGACTGCATTCAGTTGGTTTATCATATTTTAAAAGTACATTAAAACTGGGTGCACCAAGATGAAAGAAAGAATCATTAATCTATCCTAAGATAGAAGGAAACCCCTTAATCCCAAGTGATGCAGGCATTCCTACCAACATTTTTCTGACTTCCTGGTATTCTAATTACTAAAACAACCATTTTTCTCTCTATACATTGGCACAGTTATACAAACAGGGAAAAAGGAATCACTGTTTTTCCTCAATGTTATTTCAAGCAAAATCTTGTATAAAGAGAAAAAGAAATTGTTTTATTTTTATCCTGTGCAGAAGTGAGGTGTACCCAAATCCTCTGTTATATGGGTTAATCCTACCCCAAATATGGAGTATGTCTCAATTTGCATGTTATGTGCTATATTAATTCCTGTTTTGTATAGTAGAGTACAGCTATTTACCTAAAAGATGAAGTAGCCTTACTGGTCCACTCTGGGTCTAAACTTGGATGACTGTGGTATCTTTCGCATCTTATGAAGAACATTTTCTGATCCCTGTTTATTTGTATTGTCATAAGAGTGTGATCTAGCGAAGAAAAATTACTACCTGGCCAACCATGAAAGGGATAATAGAATCCTTAGTGATGTAAGAATCCCTTCCATTGGTGTAGCTGCTGAGTTCTTGGTTCCCCTGGGTTAGCCATTTCTGTATCATCTTATTTTTTTTGATTGTTGTTATTTCCTTTTTCCTTATTTGTGATTTTTTCCCGAGTACCTTTACTTTTTACATTTTATGGCATGCATGTAAATAGGGAGACAATGTTGCTCTTGAAAAAAAGGTTTTTTTTCATCCAAATATGAGCCATGACATGCCTTCTATTATCTGTGCACTGGCTGATTGTATTATTAGTTTGTTGTGTTCACTCCTGCACACTGGTAAGCTTCTTACTCTTCTTATTATCTATCAGGGAATAAAAAGCAAGCAGTCAGATTGCAGCATTTGTGATCAGATCTCTTGTAGATTTATATCATACATACATGAATTATATAATTATAATAAATTTATCAGAGGAGGGAGAATTGTTTAGAGAGAAAAAAATGTGATTTGAGGTGTGCCTGTCATTACTTTGAACAGCAGCTGGATTTGCCCACTTGTACTTACCAATATCCTTTATGCAAACTTCATTGTACACTGAACTCTTAACATAAATGTAATTCTTTTTAAAATTTGTTGACTTCTAGGAAAAATAAAGCAACATAAATTGGAGATCTCAAACTGCAGGAGAATGCTGTTCTGGGAGTCTCTAACTACAAATTTTCAATGGGGGCCAGAACTAAGTAGGCCTTCAGGCCTTTAAAATTACCCACCTGCTACTTTTTACCATTGATTTGTACAATGTTTTATTAAAACCACTGATGATGTAAATCCTCCAATTTCTGATTTATTTAGAGACATCTTTTGTGAGGATCAGGAATTTGAAACTATACATTAATATACAGTACTTATTTCACTATGACACATTAGAACTAAAACTTGGGAACAGTATCCACTCTTGATTACAATGCATTCCTTGCCACCCAAGAAGCTAATTCAGGCCTGCAAAAAACTGCCCTTGCCTGTAAAGCAAGTCAAGGTCTGAATTTACTCTACAGAAGGCAAAATCCAGCAGTTTTGTGTTAAGACAACTTTCTTTGCAAGCTGTTAAGTGACTGTAGTTGTCAGGGAATGTTTCCCTGATGCAATGTATTTCACGAGCAAAAACATTTACAAATCAATTTGACGTTACTTTTTCAAAGTGCACGACATAATGTTGTTTTGATAATCATCTAAGTAATAAGTAAATAATAAGTAATAGGTAATATATTACAATAGGTACATTTTCATTCTTGTCAGGGTAGTGGGTCTTGTGATGGACTTCCAACCCTTGAGTTGGCCACACTATTGTTACCACGAGGCTATTGAATTTCATATTAACTGACATCCTATATACACCTCCAAGGGTTAAATATGGATGATTGTTATTTCTACTCTCCTTAACATTCTCTTTGAGATTGTAAGGCGCCTTAACTAAATATGTCAGAGAAAAATTTATGGATAAAATAATTCATTTTTTGAGGAAAACAGCGGTTAATTGTTTATAAGATAGTGGGCAAAGGAGGAGGCGAATAACGCACGCTGTTAGGTACTGGAAGCCATTTTCGGTGTTATGTTCGAGTCAACGAACTGTGAAGTGCGCGAATCATGTAACTGAAATTTAATTTTTGCACAACAACGCCAAAGCAATTAAACCAGCTCTACTAAAACAATATTCGCCATGAATGGAATTATAACACGTTTAGGCAAAGTAGCCTTTTTAAATGTTTTCTAAACTTTGGTCATAGCCAGGGGCATGCCCTCTGTCCCAGCCAATCAGCATTTAGTAAGTTGTCCTCCACGTTCTACATTTTTTTATTATTAACATATCTTTATGCATTTTGTAGTAATGGAAATGATGATGCTTAATTTTTCAGAAGGAATCTACTCAAGTTAAAGGCCCGGCTGTCGCAACTCTACTAATAACTAATAGTGGACGAGCGTCAAAGGTACTGATTGTAAGGTCATTGTTTCAAATCCTTTCGAAAGTAGTTACATTTTTCTTTTTCCGGTACATTATTATTTTCTTACTTATTCGAAAATACATTAAAGGTGTACGTGTATTTCTATTCACTTTTTGATTTTATTTAAATGTGGCTATTAGTCATATCGAAAATCGTTTTTGTGCTTCGTGTGGGGCTCCAAATTTCTCTAAGGACAAGAAATGCGCGGAACCACCGCTTAAACAGTCGCACTCCATATTTCCCCAATGAAAAGTACTCTATTACTGTTAGTGATAACTTCAAATCTGATTACTGTCCTCTATGAAGCACGACGAATGGTAATCATCTATCTGTTTTGAATTTTTTTTTCAGAAGATACAACCGAATTCGAACATTCTTCCTTAGTCAGTGTGTCACCATAGCGGCCGTAGACAGGTACCAGCAACGGTAAACACAGAGGCATATCAAGATTAACTCAATGTGGCTAATATGTTCTACGCTTGTTCATTATAGGACTCATAAACAACGGAATTTTATGGATTGAAGGTGAGATTACTTATGTGTGGCCTTTTCTGTTCCCATTCTGTACATTGACAAACCCGAAGAACCGAACTTTCAAACAGAGCCATGTCATAATAGATTTTAGCTTTTCCGACATGTTTTACTCACAACGTGTTACTTATGAACGAAGGTTACGCTCAGGGTAAAATATCGTTCTTTATTTCACAATGTGAGGGAAACAAAAGAGTGACTTAATCACTACACGGAGCAGATCCTGAGGGAGAGTCTTAGCGCCTGCCCAAAATTGTAACTTCTGTAATTGTCTCGGGAGTGGGAAGCCAATTTCTCATCAAAACACAAAGCTAGAGACTCAGTTGTTGGCCATTAACAATGACAGTTAATGGAAAACAACCGACAACTGATCCTTCAATCTTCTACTGGGTGACACGCTTTCTCTTTGCTCTTTTCCTTACTCAATACGTAGAGGTACACTAGACCTTTGAGAGACATGGAACATCCAGGTGCCGAAATGAATACTGTATGTGTCATTCTAACTTGATTAAATGCGACTTTGATTCAGACAGCCTCATTAACCTTAAAACTAGTATGTCTTAGGCTGTCCGAATGACCGTAAAAAAAAATTTACTGATTAGTGAACAACGCCGCGTTGTTAAAGACGGGGTCAGAATATGGCTATGAGACACTATTTTTAAGAAACGAAAAGATTTCCGATATTTGAAATTGTTGGTTTCTGACCTTGTTGACCTTGCGATACCACTATTTCCTCGACCCAG